ATGAGCTATTAGAAAATGATATTGAATATAAATTGAAATCGAAAATAGTAGATTTAACTAAGAAGTATAGAGATGCAAGCCAGAAAATATCAGCTTTAGAGGAGCAGTGTAAAAACCATCTAACGAAAATATTAGCTTTAGAAGAACAACATAAGTTATTCAATATAACAGCTACTTATTTAAGTATCGGTAAAAAGAGAATAGTTAGTGCTGGAAATGCTATAAATGACTTTCATCTGGTTCCTAAAGGACAGTTAATTCAAATAATTGATGACAAAATGAAGGCTTTTATCCCGAAAAGCGACACAGGGAAAAAACCACCTGAGAAGAAGACCAATACAGTTAAATCATCAAAGCATTAACTATGATCTGAATGTTTACTGTCATTATTCAATAGAATGTCGAAAGAAAAGGTGCAACTAGTTGATGAGCTACATAAACCGATTAGAAAAAACTTTCCTAGACGTCGAACCGTCATCAAAGGTTTGGACGATTTGTGGCAAACTGATCTGGCTCAAATGGATACTTATATGAAAGGGAATAAAAATTTTAAGTATATTCTTATGGTTATTGATTGCTTTTCAAAGTACGTGTGGGCAAAGCCATTGAAATCAAAGTCGGCTGGTGACGTCACTGAAGCTTTCGCTGCTATCTTGAAAGAGAGTAAACGATGTCCCAAACATTTGAACTCGGACCAAGGAAAAGAATTTTACAACTCCAATTTCCAACGGTTGATGAAACAATATAACATCAATCATTATAGTACTTTTAGCGTTAAAAAAGCTGCTATTGTCGAGCGTTCTATTCGAACCATAAAGGAAAAACTGTTCAAATATTTTAGTTTAAGTGGAACATATAGATGGATTGACGTTCTACCCAATATCATTAAAACTTATAATGAGCAAAAGCATAGTTTAACTAAAATGAGGCCTTGTGATGTTTCGAAGAAACATGAAAAAACGCTATTGAATACAGTGTATAATCACATTAAAATAGCAACCGGTCGAGCAAAATTTAGCGTAGGTGATGTTGTACGCATAAGTAAAGCGAAACATGTTTTTGAAAAAGGCTACACACCCAATTGGACAACTGAATTATTTATAATTAACCAAGTTAAAATAAGTGATCCTGTAACGTACCTTTTGAAAGATATGGATGATAGACTGATAAAAGGAGCTTTTTACGAAGAAGAATTACAAAAAACGAAGAACCCTGACGTGTACCTTGTAGAGAAAGTGCTACGTAAAAAGGGCAATAAAGTGTTTGTAAAATGGCTTGGTTTTGACAAATCATTCAACAGTTGGATAGATGCTGGAAATAAGTTATGAATAATGTGCGCAGGTACTTGTCTCCCACCACCACCACCATTATCATTACCTCTAAACCTTAAATTGCCGAAATTGTTCCATGAAACTTTTCAGTAATCAAATAGCAGCAGTTAAGAGTGTACGTGCATTAAGATGTTGACTGATTATGAAAGCGAACAGCTCGATCAATTATTAAAAATGTATGAAAAAGCTGCTGCAGCCAAACCGCAAAAACGAGGTGAAAAAGTTTTAAATTTAAATAGTGAAGTTCAACAACAACAACAACAACAACCAGAAAAAGAAGTTAGTGAAAATGATAATGGAGGTTGGTTTCTTCTCAGCTCAATCTTTCCGTGTGAGGAGAGTGGACTCAAATTGGAAGTTGGACTAAGTACTTCTGAAAAAGGAAACTTCCAGCCGTGTGTTAGAGTCCATATAAGTGATAGCGGCTGGATATTTTTTCAATTAGAAGAATGGAATCAATTTATGGTGAATCTCAACTGGCTTTTAAATGGATTTTTTGATACTCATTTGGAAATGAGTCATCTTCGATTTATCTGCTGCAAAAATATTATTGTTAGCGACGTCTCCACATCGGATGAATCCAAAATAATTTCTGTGACAAAAGACTTGCAAAATTTGTACTTAACAAGAAACAATGTGCGTGAACTATGTATGATGGATCGTTTTTTCATTTCTACGTGGATAGAAAAATTAAAGCAAGTTGATTTTCTCAAATATTATGATAATTTTTTAATTCGTGTTAACCAATTATTGTTAAATCAGTGTGAGAGTCTTGATGATATATCAAATGTATGTAATTATAAGGATACTAACATAAAAAGTTACTGTTTAAGTGAATATATGCGATATTATAAAACCAAATTACTAACTGATTTAAATAAATAGTTTGAGCTTATTTTTGATTTTGTTTTAATTGAGGATTTCCAGGTACCAATAAAACAAGCATAAGGATTCAGTTCAGAAATTTATTCTTAGCAATTTCAAATCAACTCAATACCTAGAGTACAATAATATCCCATACAGCACACTTCGTACCAGGGACGTACTTTGTAGGTCGATTTTACGTCGGTACGTCCCGGGACCAACTTGGGACGTACTAGGTACGTAAAAAACTGTACGTACATGTACGTACCTAGCAGTTCGTACCAGGGACGTACATTTTATGTCCATTTTGTAATTACGCGTTTTGATCAAAAAATGGACGTACACTGGACGTACACGTATGTACGTACATAGGACGAAAATGATGTTGCATTGAAGGTACCAAACAAAAAGTGCGTATAGTAGGTAATGTTTGTGATTGATCATTATGGCAGCTACCATACAGAGGTAAAAAAATACCCTTATTTTAATAGTACGGTACCTATTTATCATAATTTAAAACCGTCAGTTCCTGTTCAGAATAATCGGTCACGTCTCGTGACATCGCCAAAATTGTTTTGAAGTGATAATTTGAGCTTCATACAGCATCCATGCAATTCAAGAATTAACGATAATTTTCAATGCACTTGTTATTTTTACACAATAATAATTTTATTTCGTCGCCATCTATGAATGAGTTCCTTAAGTACCAATTTTTCTACATCTTGTAGGGTCGTAAAAGTTCCCCTTTCCTGCTTTTTATAATACCCGAGAGATGGCGCCATCAATTACGTCATGAACTTCAAATTCATTAGGCATTGCGAGCGAACCCGATCACTAGCTGTTTGTTGTTTGTCCTTCTTCAATGAACACGATTGAATAGAGACAAAATACATTGGCTTGAAATCGGATTAGTAATCGGATCTGTTCCGTTAGTTCCGTAGTCGTATGTCAAGCCAAGCTATTTTTAGGTTATATGATATGCATTGCAGCATTTTCCACGTGAAAAATTTCTGGAAAACTCCCAACACGTTGTTTGTGTAAGGTTTGTGACGTTTGTGTTGTGAAAAACTGTGTTTCTGTATTTGTACAAGGCTGTTTTTTAGGTAAGTGGAGTCAAATTACCTTTATTTGCTTGAGAAAAATGTGGCGTAGCAGTGCTTCCAGTAAATACTACAAAAGGGCCAATGCGGAATTAAAGCGGTTTAAAAGGGCCCATCAAGAGGCACCTTATATTAACCCAAACAGACGTACATCAGATCGCTCTGACAACGTTAACCTTAGCGAGGTTTTTAGGGAAGGCCTGACTCTGAGTGTTGGTTACCAGAGTGAGGCACTGGCAGCACCAACATCATCAGAAGAAGAGAGTAACGAAGCTTCTGCTCCTCTTAATGTGCTTGAGTTGCAGTCTTCTTCTAGTGAAGATGACACTACTGCTCTCACCCCTGTCCCCCTTAATGTGCTTGAGTCACAGTCTACTAGTGCCGAGACTAGTGTCTTATGTGAAGCACAAACTATAAACTTTAGTTTAACTAAGTGGGCTCTACAGCATGGTATAAGGCATGTTGCTATGAACGATCTTTTAAAAATTCTTAAACCCTACCACCATACTTTACCTTTGGATTCTAGAACTCTTCTTCGTACCCCAAAAAAAATCAGTTCTATCAGAGATGTTTACCCGGGGCAATACTATCATTTTGGTATACAGGAGGCGATTCGTAACTTGCTTTCAAAAACTGTGCTAAAGAACAACTCAATAGAACTTTTAGTGAACATTGATGGTTTAAATATATCAGACAGTTCAAGTAGCCAGCTGTATCCAATTTTAATAAGTATTTTTGAACATAATGCTGTGGATGTTGCTGGTGTTTACCATGGTCTAGAAAAACCAAAAGATGCCAACGAATTTTTATCTGAATTTGTTTCGGAAATTATAAATATTATAAATAATGGGTTCGTTTTTAACAATGTGGAATATTCTGTGAAAATCAAAGCTTTTGTTTGCGATGTCCCAGCAAAATCTTTTATTAAATTCACAAAAGGACACACGGGATACTTTTCATGCTCAAAATGCTTCACTGAAGGTGAATATGTAAATAATAATGTGTGTTTTCCAGATTTAGATTTTGTTTTAAGGACAGACGAACAGTTTAGAAATAAAGTGAATGAAGACCATCATACTGGAACTTCAATTTTAGAAAGTATTCCAGGACTCGATATGATTAAGTCTTTTGCTTTAGATCCAATGCATCTTTTATATTTGGGAGTTATGAAAAGATTGCTTGTTAACTTGTGGGTCAATGGGAAACCTCCTAATAAATTATCTTTTAGGCAAATAAATGCTATAACAGAATCTTTAGTGCTGCAAAGAACTAACATTCCTTCAGAATTCAGTCGCAAACCTCGCAGCCTAAATGAGAGTAAAAGGTGGAAAGCGACAGAATACAGTCAATTTTTATTTTATACTGGTCCGGTATGTTTGAAAGATATTTTAAGCACAGATCAATATGTCCATTTTTTGTCTTTGCATGCAGCTTTAACTATGCTATCAACAGCGGATTTGTCAAAAGCAGAATATGCTGAAGAATTACTTAAATGGTTTGTTGAAAGCTTTTCAGATTTATACGGCAGTGAATATATTTCACACAATATTCACAATTTACTCCATTTGGCTGATGATGTCCGAAGTTTTGGTCCTTTGTATACATTTAGTGCTTTCAAATTTGAAAATTTCATGAGGACGTTTAAAAAATGTCTGAGGAAAAATGAAAAGCCATTACAACAAATCATTAAGAGAAAAGTTGATAAGTTTGATCAAGAATCCCAGTCATGTTCAAATCAACATATTTCTTACCCTGTTTTCAAAAAAAGGCATGGCGAAGGGGGTGTTATCTCGAATCAGAATTATATAAGCAATGAGCAGTTCTCTGAAGTTTTATTTAAAGATTTTAAACTTTCAATCATGGCTCCTGATAATTGTTGTTCATTAAAAGACGGCTCCATAGTTGTAATTAAAAATTTTGTAAAGGTAGAATCAGAATATTTTATTGTGGGTACTAAATATCAGAGAAAACAAAATTTTTACCACAAACCTTGTGAATCTTCTCTTCTGTCAATCTATGTAGTGGAAGAAGAAAGTGATTTGAAAATGTGGAACGTGAATGAAATTATATTTAAATTTGTCAAACTTTCATATCAAACCATGGAAGTAGTTTTTCCTTTATTGCACACAATATGTTGATTTTGTTACTTTACTTTATTCATTTTAAATCTTTTCAAGAAATATCTTTACAAAAAATAAATGTAATTAATTAGTGGTAATTAGGTAAAGCTGATATATTTAATCCAATAGTGTGAAGTTAGTGCCTATGAATGCCTAATTGGCCCAATTTGTTAATTTTTAGGCAAAAAATAGCATTGGATAAATTTATGATAAGGAATGATCTTTGAATTGTGATATTGATCTTAGTACATACCCACCTAATATTTTTAGTATGAAAATAACGTTAAATACCTACTTCTCCAATTCATTATACTGACTGAGCTGAATTATAGTAATTTTTTCTATATTGACTTTTTCTTAAAATTACGAATTAATAATATTGTATAATTAAATAATAATATGTGAAATATTTATATTTTATATGACCAAAGTCTAGAATAACATGTTAATGTGGCACTTACTTTTTGACCCTATTTAGAAGCAATACACACCGGTGATATAACACTGTGATAACACTGCTGCTGCTGAATACCGATTAAAACAAATATGAATGAAAAAACATGGACCGTGGTCCATTTTATAAAGGACGATTCAGTGGAAGCAGTGCCATCGGCATGGCTGATCAACGACGAAAAGTGCCTTTGGCCACCTGCAACATGGACCACAGAAAAAATTATAAATGCAATAAAAAACTGCATCATTGACACACATTGGCAAGACTACGACATCAAAACCTTTTTGAATGCGACCTATAGTAAGAGAGATTCTTTTGAACCCATTTTTTGTTTAATATCCTCCAATAGGTGACAAGAATGTTATTTTCATTTCATTTGAGTTTTTTAGGAAGCTATGAAACAGCAAGGAATAAAGCGAAAAAGGCAGAGTCAGACAGTGACCTGAGCACCACCGATATGGAAAATAGAAAAAGAAAGAGGAAAAAAGTTATTTATTCATCTGATGATGATGATGATCAAGAGAATAATAATTCACTGTCATATATCCGCAAAGAACCACGTAAGTCAATTAACTGTGTTTAAAAAAAGATTGTGGATTGAGTGGCTTGGTACTACATACCATAAGCACTATTAAGTAATTTATAGTAGTCGAGGATGAGCTGTTTGTTTATTGAAATTAAATATACTTTTTAGCACAATACAAGCATCCAAAAGGCAAATCTGAGAAAAAACCCAGCAAATTATTTCCTAAAGGTATGAGTAACTTTTTTACCTATTATTAACTTGAAACTTTATGATCCTAATTTGTTTTCTATTAGATTCCTATAAAACACCAAGAAAAACTACAAAACAAAAACATATTTTCACTTCGCAGAGAAGTGAAACCCGAGGTGAAACTCAACATGAAGAACACAGTGTAAATAAAGGTTTGTATTTAAAACTGTAGATTTATTGTTTGTATTTGTATGCAATTTTCCAGATAATAATACCTAATTATAACTGTTTCAGTATCAATTAGGAATGAGCTTAGTACATTCGATTTTTTTTCAGGTATAGATGTATCAGAGCAAGATGCTTATAATGGCAGAGGTGTTCTAAAAGGTTTGTACAACTATACCTTGAAATTATTTACATATTTTTCTTAAAAAGGCGAAAGTAGTATAATTGTTTTTTTTTGCATCTCACAGCAGTGCACATTTTGTTTATGCTTTTTTGATAATTTAGGCCTTCAATTTAAGCCTCGATTTAAGCGGTAATTGATTTTATTTTTAACCATATATGTAATATTGACATTACAGTCTTTTTAAAAATTTGGAAATGTCACTTTACTGTCTTTTCATTTCCCTGCTCCACTTCCCGTCCCCATTTCCCGTCCTCACTTCCCGTCCTCGTTTCATTATATTTATGTGGCAGGTATTGTCAAATTTTTTTCAAAATTGATGACAATGACATAAAATTCAAGCAAATAACATGAAGCTACGTTCACATTCAATTTCATTTCTAATTTAAATTAGCAAAAATTATGGTTAAAAATAAAATAGTATACCATGCTCGACAGGAAATTCAATTACTGTCTCGAGATATAGTTTATCTCGACGCTACGCGTCTCGATAAACTATAAAATCTCTCGACAGTAATAGCTAATTTCCCGTCTCGGATTGTAATATACTATTTCAGGTTCTTCACAAATACCTACCACCAAGCCATCTTATCCATCCAGTCCAGGCAGTAGCCAGAAAGGTTTGTTTTATTTATCTTGCAATAATTAAATTAATTATTATCGGTAACTTTTGTTATTTTCAGAACATTCATCTGAGAACTGCGGCAAGTGTTGCCCTTATCAAAGTAAGTTTTTTTCTCTCCTATGTAATACAGGCATTGTAGAGTATTTTTTAGCTAAATTATTGGATAAAATTTTTATAGAACAAATTAAACTAAGAGAAGCTCTGAAGGATATCGCAGCTCCTGTTGCAACTCAGAAGGATACAACCTCTCCTTTAAGTAAATATAGTATTTTTAAAGATTTCCAACTGCCAATCGTTGAAGCTGATGATCTTCAGAGGCTGAATGAATTTTTAAAACATGAAAATAATTTTGAAAAAAGTGTAAAGTAGTACAGCAACACGGGTTCTAGCACCAAAATCCGACCATAACCTCAATCTTTCATTCTTGACACGTGGTGGATGCGCCGTCGTTGACACGAAGGTGGATGCGTCGTCGGCGCCATCTTGTCAAACCTCATGGCGCCATCTGTCGTGAGTGCGGTGAATTCTTGTAATTACAGGTTCCTGTAATATGGAGTGTGCGTGGAAGGGATTGTTCCGAGTCGTTTCGAAATCGCTACGTATAGTTAATTATGGTTCGGGGAATTACAGGTTTCTGTAATATGGAGTGTGCGTGGAAGGGATTGTTCCGAGTCGTTTCGAAATCGCTACGTATAGTTAATTATGGTTCGGGGAATTACAGGTTTCTGTAATATGGAGTGTGCGTGGAAGGGATTGTTCCGAGTCGTTTCGAAATCGCTACGTATATGTAATTATGGTTCGGGGAATTACAGGTTCCTGTAATATGGAGTGAGCGTGGAAGGGATTGTTCCGAGTCGTTTCGAAATCGCTACGTATATTAAATTATGGTTCTGTGATGACGTCATAGCGACCTGGGTCACGTCCATTTTTGCATCAAACGCCTATCATTGCGTAAATGGAGTACACGCGTTATATAATTTTTTACTTATATGGTCACATCAGTTTGTGTGTCGGTGGCGCCATCTAGCGTACGTAGTGCGACGTGTCCTATTACAGGATGCCGTAGTGGTAAATAAAGAAAATTCGTGAAACTCAAGGTTACAGACCATTGAGTTGACGACGTTTAATGTCGGAGCGTTATAAACAAAGGTATCATATTTCACAGTTTATTTTACTGATAAGCATTTACGTTCTAGCGCAAATAACAAGCTGGGACTTGCATCTAATATTTTGTTGATGAAAAAAAGGATATTTTCACTGCAGATTAACTATGGGAAATTTAATGAATTAAATGAGTCACACTTGTTTTTTTCAAATTAAAACCTATTTATTTATTAAACCATAGGGTACATTGACTTTTTCCAATATGGTACGTTAAATTCAATAATAATATTACGCAGCAAATGGCAATAAATATGACTACATTTAAAGTGGATTTCGGTGCGATGTCGTTGTCTGATAGAGTCTTATGGGAATTATTGTATGTTTCTTCTTGCTGTTATGGTTCTCTGATGAGAGTTCTCCATTCGGTATCTCCAACAGTTTCATCATGAAAATGCAGCCTCACCTTGTAACGCAGGTACGCCAATGACGTCGACGACGGTATACGAGTCGTGAAAACAGCTAAATGGCCCTTATCTATTACTTCATAATGCATTTCTGTCCACGATGTTGTATTATTAGGTGCGGAAAAGTCCAGCATTATTGACATTTTGTGGACATTGTACGGTCTGTGTACATAGAAACTATTTTGCACAAGGGCAACCAAGAGAACATAGTACGATTGACTTGATACCATCATGGTTAGTAATTGAATGATAAGATTCATTTCCACATCCTTAATAAATTGGCGCAATGGTTAATATAATGCAAACGATTTTTTTTTTCACCAAGAAAACTTTTATTTTAATAGAAACATCATACAAATTAGTCAACTTCATCGTAACCTATATATTTTGCAATAATATCATCACACATGTATTTAGCGCCATACTGTTTTAATTGCTGATGTAGTCCATACTGATTCATAAGCACACATAGGTCCTCCAAGGAGATGGAATTAGCCAGATAAAGATTACAAGACTTGACACCATTTTCATATTTTTCCACATCTTGCGTGGAAAACCAACCATTAGTGCCGGGTTCTTGCTCAAGTGCTTGAAGTAAAAAGTACATGTCTGTTTCTAAACTAGTACGTAGCAAATAGACAGCTTGTCTTATACAGGAAGATTGATGATGGCAGCAGGCATCACCACGACGACCAGTAATACTACAACCGGACATTTTGACTCTTCAAAGGTTGCTATTGTAATGTGAAAAATAAAAAGCAAGCATGTTTTTTATAGTCATTTATTAATACTAATACTAATTGGATTGGAGGGTGGTACAACACGCGTCCAGCTTATCTAAATCCCTGACAATTTTGCCTAGGTTCATAGTAGCAAGTTCTAGAAAGTAGCAGCTACGTTCACATTTGTTCAAGTTGCACATGCTGATAATTGATTGCAAAAGATGGCTGCCGTTTTTGACATTGTGAGTAACATTCAAATATTGTAGGCAATCGTCATAGTATACAATGAAATTCAAATCCTTGACTAATTCTAATCTATAATTAATGAGAGGACAAACAGTTAAAATTTGTTTGATGTCGTCCAAACAAAAACACAATGCACAATTATTCGACGTAAGAGTTAGAGCTTGTTCACCGAAAAACGATTCGACATACAGAGTGAAATTCTCGGATAACGCCTGTTGTTGACCAGGCACAGCAGAGTCTTTGACGCCAGCAGCAGCAGTTTCATTCACGATCTTGGAGACCTTTTCCAGGAATTCATACCAGTCGAAATCGGCTAGAGTTATGCAAGTTTGATCTTCGGGCAAGTTTAGCATGGAGTTTACTATTTTGACTGCTGGCAGCATTCCTCGAGCGACGCTTAGGCCCACAATCAACTTGAAATTGTTCACCTGGTAGCTAACTTCGTTGAGTAAACGTTTCTCTTGAGCAATTTCCATTCGACTTTTCAAAATCATACTGTCCAAATATTCCCAATAATTTGACGAACACTGCGAATCGTCGCTGTCTTCGGCACTGATATCTGCGTACATTGTGTGATTCGATGCACAGGACATTTCACGATGACACCGTGACTACGTTCAAATACTGAGACACAAATGTGGTACTTTGAGGTTTATAATAACTTTTACGGCCCCCCACCACCACCACTCCGTCGAACATGTCTTAGACCAATCACATGCGAGTATTAAATGGCATCTTTATTCATGTCAATCCAGCTATTGTGTGATTTATCAAAGCCTAACCACTTTACAAGCATTTTGTTTCCCTTTTTTCGTAGCACTTGCTCCACGAGAAATACGTCTGGCTGTTTTGTTTTCTGCAGCTCTTCCTCGTAAAATCCACCGCTTATCGGCTGACCTTGCAAGTCTTCCAACAGATACGTCGTTGGATTCGTGATATGAACTTTAGCTATTTTAAAGAGCTCTGTAGTCCAGTTTGGTGTATAGCCTTTTTGGAAAACATGTTTATACTTGCTTATACGAACAATGTCACCAACCTTGAACTTTTGCTTACCGACAACTTTGATATGACTATAAACAGTATCAAGTATCGCCTTTTCATTCTTTTTATTCACGTTACTCGGCTTCATATGTATCGTACGATGTTTGCTATCATTATAGGCATCAGTTATAGGCCGTAATAAATCCAGCCATTTATGGTTCCCATTCAATGTAAATTGCTTGAACAGCTTTTCTTTAATGGTTCGAATCACTCTCTCGGCGATCGATGCTTTCAAAGGACTAAACGAACTATAATGATGTATTCCATATTTCTTCATTAGACTTGCAAATTGAGCATTGTAATACTCCTTTCCATTATCAGAGATAATTTTCTTTGGAATTCTTCCAGATGTTTTGAGTATCTCTGCCATAGCGTTGGCAACATCTGGTGCAGATTTCGATTTAATGGCACGCGTCCAAAGGTACTTGGAAAAACAGTCGATTACAACCAATATGTATTTGAATCCATTGTTTTCTCCGGCATATTGATCAAGTTGTGCCAGATCAGTGGCAAAAGTATCGTCGAGGCCATATTGTATAAATCTTCTACGTTTGAAGTTTTTACGAGCCGGTTGATGAAGCTCCTTAACCACTTGTTCTCTAGACATTTCACAAAGACAACTAAACATATATGTATGGGAGTACGTATATTTATAATAACTACTACAAAATATTGGCTGCATGTTTAATTTGATCAATTCGATCGTTGATGGTTGCTTCAAATTGTTCCATTTTCTGGAAACGTTCCTCGCACGTCATGGCCAGCTGACTCATCTTTTCTCCAGTCTCTCTTGCTAGATCACCAAGGCTACGAAGGTCATCGTGGACGTTTGTGTTCAAGATTTGATCCAATTCCTGAATGCGGATCATACTGCTTTTAACTTGATCGCTGATGTTATCCACTGCTTCTCCAAGGGCGCCAAGTGCTTCATTTGCGATGAGCACCTTATTGTATAGACTGCTAGTTGCCAAGTCTACATACTTTTTAGTGGATGCATCATTGTCGTCACTAGGCATTCCAATATTGCAGAGCCTATGATTTTCAACATTATAATCGCCATCGGTAGTGGTCGGCAAAGCTGATGCCTGAGCACGAATAATTTGACGACGACGTGACGAAGAAGAAGACAGGGAATGTCCAAACTTATTCATGGCTAACACACTAATGACTGATAGATGAAAGCTGTAGACTATTTTATTATTATTAGTAGATTAGTCTCGGATAACGCCTAGCTCTCGCAAATCTTCCAAAATACTCATTATTTCATTCGTGTGATTTCCATTGCCAGCCTCTTGAGACGCATCCAATATAATCAACCTATCAATCAGTTCGTTTACGTCATCGTAATACACATACTGTTTGGGTTTTTCATTGTACTGCATCATTAAAGACGACGGTGATGACGATGCCGCTAATCCGGATCCCGTCAATGATTTTCTATGAGATTTTGATTGCTTTGCTGTTGGTGGTGGAGGTGTATATGGCTTTATAAATTGTTGATATTTTCTCGAATTGGTCCCCTTTATCTGACCTGTCGGTTTATATTCTCTTCTATGTGCATTGGTGCGGAATAAGATTTCATTGAATTGTTCGTTGTCTTTTTCCGTATTCAGTCGAGGATGTTTGAGAAATAACAAGTCGTATAGACCGCGACTCTTGGGATAAGTTACGTTTCCAACATTAATATCGCCATTTGGTAGAAAATCAACTCTTTCTGTGCCCATGGTCCAAAAGCCGGTTTCCGAGTTATATTTCAATCCATAGGTCGAATCCGTTTCATTAGA